CTTCTCCAGCACCACAGCTCAAAGGCATCAATTCTCCTTCTATCCTCCTTGGTCATTGTCCAACTCTCTGATGCATAACAAGTGATTGCGAAGACCATAGCCTGTATCAGACGTACCTTAGTAGCCTGAAGTTTAAGAAGCGTGCCATCAGATCTTGTCTTTATTCACCTTAACTGGACTCTAATTATTAAAGTCATGATTGAAATAGCTGCTTCCTTGTTTTCAGACAAATCTACTGAAAATTATGTGGACGATATTTATCATCAACATAAGAATCCATGGGCACGAACAGTTCAGCGTGTGACTAGTACCGAAAGGATTGGCACTTAAACCCTGAGATTCATTCTTTCTCAAGACAGGCCTGGTGACCTGCTTTGGCGAGATCTCGGCCCCAAAGGCCAGTGGCCAGCTCAAGGGCACCAGAGTCAGAATCGACTACCATCATCAATAGAGCCTAATCATGTCATGAGACAGAGTTACTACAAAAAATAGATTAGACCCAATTTAATATAAAACACCTATTTAGACAGTGGGCATCCACATATAATAGAGATCTCACAGAATAATGGAAACCTAATTTCCAGAAAGCATGTCTCTTTCCTTTTAAGACCTATGTATCAAAAGTGAATGCGTTTGGGATATATTGCTCTGTTCCTCTCCCAATATATTTGGGATTGTCTTCTTAAATATGAGAAGCATTAGTGGAGAAAGCCAGGGCATATTGCGCTGATAACTAGAAGTCAGCAGTTCGAATCTCCCCCCTGTTCCCGTGTAGAGAGATGAGTAGCCTCTTCTGTAAAGATTTGCAGCCGGGAAACTGATGCAGGGTCACAGAGATTCAGAACCTGCTCTGTGACAGTCAGTTTGGTTTGTTGTTTATGTTGGGTTTTCCCCCCTTAAAATATGTACTAATTTATTTGAATATTTTCTATTGTTTCAGGGTATGAAAAGTAGAGGTGTCAATAATAAAAAGAAAAGTAAAGAAACTGATTTTCAGAAAATACTTAAAAATGAAATAACTGATGAGCACTTTAGAGATAAGTGTAGGAGAAAAGAGGAAATCTGCATTTTTTGAGGCTCACTAGGAAGTTCCAGGTCTGAAAAGAATTACTTCTAAAACATAAATATAGTAAAGATAAGTCAATAATTACTGGTAAATAAACAATGACCCTTTTACTAACAAAGTGTCAAAGTGAAGCAGTAAGTACACCAAACACATCATCATTTCCATCATAAATACGTGTTTCCAAAAGGACAAAAACCTTCAATCACGTAATCATTTTGGGTTTTTTGTTATTGTTGTTGTTAAAAAAATCAAAGATCCAGAATTTGGGTCAATATAATAATATATTTTTGTGCTGCTTTAAATCTGACCCCACACTACAACTGAATATCTTCTCAATAAACTGTTCTTATATGTTGTTGTTGATTGCTGCCGAATCAAGCATGATTCACTAGCAACCCTATGGACAAAAGGCCTGAAGCCTTTCTATACCTGTCATTTATCAAAGTTCACAGACTTTCCAGAATCATGTTGTTTGGGAAGTGGATACCACCCCTGCTTCTAAAAATCTAAGTATACTCACATGAAAACTGCATGAACAAAATATCTTAAATCATACAATTTATGTGCTCATTTTTCAAAAAAATCTGTTCATCTTCTAACCTTGAATCTTTTAAAAGTATCAAGAAAAAGTAAAGATTCATTTTATTCTGCTTTTTAAATATTATTCA